GACTGCTGCATTCTGGATCCTATTCTTCTGGGATTTAGCTCACCCCTTTAATCAGAAAAATCTCTCCCACTGAGGGGTAGAGCTAACCATCCAAACTGAGCCACAACCTTATTCAAAGCTCAATTAGGGGTCCCTGTTGCTGAAGCAACATTTTCAATGCGCTCCAGCTGCATGTGGGGCTGTCCATCCTCTCACCTCCTGCTAGAGCCATCACTGGAAGCAGAACAGAGGCAGAGAAGATCTCAAATCTTCCCTCTCTTCCTCTTTCCTATCCATTCCCTTGGGCAATGCCAGTTCTAGGCTTTATTTGCTGGAGGGGTGTCTCAGAAAAGAAGGTTTTTTTAGTAGGCCGACCTTCTCTCTGCTGCCACTGGTGCCCATTTGCACTTCCAATTGCCCCCACCTCCCAGAGTGAGTGAACGGGTGGTTACTGCTCCAGCTGCTCTCAGCTTTGGCTCACTCAGACAAACTAGGCTTTCTGGAGGAAGCAGGGATCCAAAAAATAGGATTCAGGGCCAAAGGCCAATTAGGAACGGAGGGCAAGCCAGGAGTCATGACCATTGAGCATGGCCCGAAACACAAGCCACCCCAGAGCTCAAAACAAGCCTAGCTGCTCATTGAAGGTGGAAGCACTTGTACTCTTTCCATAAGGAGAAACTGGTCGGTCTGTTGGGTGGAGCCAGTTCAGAGCCTTGAAAGTCATGCATAGAAAAGCTGCAGTTATATTCTCCACCAGATGGGGCAGCGATTTGCGGATCTTGACACCTGCACTCTCTGGTTCCTATAGTCGCTCAAGGTCTCCTTCACCCTAATCTTGTTAGAAGACCTGGGAACCTCCCTGGCTCCCAGATTCTGTGCCAGTTTGTGCTCTGTTTGCACAAAGCACCTATCCTGAACAGCAGCCTCATATCAGCAGATATGCTTTGTCAGCCTTGCCTTTTCCTTTTCCGCCTGAGGGTATTTCTCCTGAGGGCTTTTGCCCTGTGTCAATCTTCTCTTCACCTCAGTCTTGACAATTTAAATACAAAGCAGCAATCTGCTCACCAAAGCTGCTGCTTAATAAGTTTATCTCCTGTACCAAATGTTTGAATACCCTCCCTGGTTTCTCCGAAGGACTTTGGAGGCCAGCTTACAAGCAAAAGTTGCCAAAGCAAAAGGCCAGTTTGGTTTGAGTCATGCTTTCTTGGGGGATGACTCCATATCAAAGGAGGTCTGCTGTGAATGGGGTTAGACTAGGACTAGAGCAAAGTGTTATAAGAATTTAAGGTCTCAAATATATAAATTAAATGTACAAGGCAAACACATACATACACCACATGTCTCAAACAGTACAGGAAGACAGTCCTGAAACGATTTTGAATCTCCCAAACTGACCAAATGTTTCTCTGCAAGGAGGGAGGAAATGAAAAAACCTCCCCATTGACTCTGTGCTCACAAATCCTGCCTTAAGGGCATATTTAAGGTATGAATAGGTTGAGCCTGTGACCTGGGTTCAGGAATTAAGTAGTTATAATAGCAAAAGAGTGGCCAAAACCCAGATAATGCAATCAGGTACTTGCCAGACAGGAGATAAACAACGCACTCAGGTTTCTGTTGTAGACCACCTTTTCTGTAGGTATGATGTATCTGGGGGGTGGTCTTGGGCTACACCCCTTCTGTGATGTATGTATGATGTTTCTGGGGGTGGTCTTGGACTCCAGGGCGGGCAATTTATAAGGGCAGGCACACCTTTTTTCTGGGTCCTCCTCCTCCTCTCTCCTGCGTGTGAGGGGAGCACCCTGTTGCAACAGCTTTAATAAAGATCAGGCTTACTAGCTGCTTTGCTTCTCAATATTCTCTGGTTGGCCTCTGTTATTTTCTCCTACCGATAGGGAACCCACTTAAGGACTCTATATGGCTCTTGGATACCCCATAAGGGAAAAAGGGCAGATTTTGTTTACAACAGAAGGGAGCGGGTAAGGCAACAGTTACTTTCTCTGTTGGAAGAATTTGGATGGTACAGATGTGTGTTGACAGTCAGCATTTGTCAGCGGGATGCCAAAGAGCCAGAGCTTTGCAAGCCTAGACAGGATTCTGCAGCAGTTGGCAACAGGCAGAACTGGCAGTCAACTGGAAGGGCCATAATTCAATGACAGAGCATCTGCCTTGTATACCAAAGGTCCCAGGTTCTAACCCTTCCATCTCCTGGTAGGACTTGGGATTGGACTTGGACCTTCTGCATGTGAAAGAGGTATCCTACTACTGGGCTAGGTCCTTTTCCCTTTGACACCCTTTGGTCTCCTGCATTTGGAATAAATGTAGAATTTGATCTTTGCAAACAACTTGATCCATGCTGCTCAGACATGAAGAACAGACAAGCAGAACTTGGCTATCCACCAGACATCGCACTTCTCCAAAAGTTGCAACACAGTTCTTGAATTTAAATGCATCAGAACCCATATTTAAATCTGTATTTCAGAGAATATGTGTGCATATATATATATGATATGCTTTTGAAACACATTTTGAGAGAAAATACACAATGAAAGATATCCTTTGAGAAAGACAATATAGTGTGGATTGAAATACATGTTTTGAGATAAAACACACATTTAAATATAGATTTTGAAAGATTGCATACATTTAATTACATCCAGAGTTGGTTTCTTGCAGCAAAAACAACAGAGAGTATTGCAGCACCTTTAAGCCTAACAAATTTATTATGGTAAAAGCTTTGTGGGCTACAGCACACTTTTTCAGATGCACGATGCGTTCTCCTCCTAGCTATATGTACAAGCTGCTGGGCAGACGGAGAGGGGATTTAAGTGAGGGCAGAAGGAAACGAAATGAATAAAATACAGATGATGATCATTATGTGGCTATTCACAAAAAATAAAAGTTGTTGATAACACAAACTTTCTGGCTGCAGTAAGCCAATTAACATGTGCAGCAGATTAACAAAAGCTTTAATGGCTACTAGTCTTGTTGACTATGTATTGTTTCCTGTATGAAAGGCTGTATGTCTCTGAATACTTGTTCCTGGGGAGCAAGTATGCCTTGCTCATGCCTTGCTTTGTGGCTACTCAGAGCCTTTCTGGTTGGCCACTGTGGAAACAGAACGCTGGTCTGATCCAGAGCAGGTCTCTTCTTATGTTCTGACAAAAGGGCAATGGAAGGTTGATTTATCAGCTGGGAAGAACCTCCCACAGCACCTAGTGCTTTTAGTGGAAGGTATCTGAAAAGATGGAATATGCCAAATAATAATCCAAATGGCTGACTGATGGTCTCATGAGTGCTTTATCACTACATCTCTGCTATTAACACCTAATTTCGCCCTCTTCAGGATAACTTTGTATCTCCCCCCCTATTCTGATGCAGCCTTTGCTAAATGGGTGCACTATAGATGCTAGGCCAGGCATAGGCAAACTTGGCCTTCCAGCTGTTTTGGGACTACAAGTCCCATCATCCCTGACCACTGGTCCTGTTAGCTAGGGATGATGGGAGTTGTAGTCCAAAAACATCTGGAGGGCCGAGTTTGCCTATGCCTGTGCTAGGCACTACAATTCCCAGCAGTTCCAATGACTGGGGCTGATGGGTGCGGCAGTCCACAACATCTGAAGGGCACTAGGTTGGCAAAAGGCTGTTCTAAAGTGATTTTTAATTGCTCATGCAATTAATAAGGTCTGCTTGGTTACAATGTAATAATATGCTTCCCTGAAGATCCTGTGGAATGGCAATTGATCCTACATGTCTCTGTCTGGGCTGGAAGCCATCCTTTTCTCATAGCAGAGCCAGCTCAATGTGGAACGGGAGCTTCTAATATTGACTTCTTCCATGAGAAAGCTGCTATCAAAAGTGTAATCAGTATTTATGATTCCTCCCCCCCTTTCGCTCTCCTTGAAATGGCAGCAGATTAGAAATCAAAGGTCTCCAGGGTGAACAGGAAGGATATCAGCGAAGTCATCCATCTCCTACCTCGTATGTATTGATTTGTAGGGTTAAATCAATGGGGAAAATTCCACCCTTTGCTAACAGGGATTAAAAATAGAAATGTCAAGATTTTGCCTGCCCAGAGGGGATTGTGGGGTGGAAATGGAGTACAGAAGTAGCACTAGGATAAACTAGGCTTACTTCAGATTTCTGGAATGGTGGGAAATTTGAATAGTACAGTATTAGGAAGCTGCTTTACTAGAGGCGAGACCTGGTGTGGGTTGCTCAGTCAGTAGAGCATGAGATGATGAGATGATGATGATGATGATAATAATAATAATAATAATAATAATAATAATAATAGTAATAGTAATTCCACGCATCTGACTAGGTTGCCCCAGCTACTCTGGGCAGCTTCCAACAATTTATAAAACTACAGTAAAACATCGAACATGAAAAACATCCTAATTTCAGGGTTGTGCGTTCGAGCCCCACGTTGAGCCAATGATTCCTGCCTTGCAAAGGGTTGGACTAGAGGACCTCCATGGTCCCTTCCAGCCCTACAATTCTATGATTCATTATAATAATCTTTAGCCAATGGCCAAGGATGAGGGGAATTGTAAATAAGCAGCATGTGGAGGGTTACAGATGCCCCATACATACCCAAGTTAGCTCGCTGGTCTATCTCAGATTTGTCTATTCTATGCCAACATTTTCCAACCTGGTGCCCCCTAGAAGCTGTGGGACTGCAGCTCCCCTTCTGTCCTAGCCAACATGACTGGAGGTCAGGGAAGATGAAGGGAGAGGGGAGTCCATTCAGAGGTTCAACATCCAGAGGGCAACCAGGTTGACAAAGGCTGCCTCACACGGGCTCGTCAGGATTTCAATTTAATTACTAAGACTCTCTCCAGGGTTTCTGACAGGGAGACACTAGGGACTCAACTGGCGATTGTCTGAATTCAAGGCATATGCTCTACCACTAAGCCTTTAGGCTTAAGGCCCATAGGAATCTGTCTTACATGGATCAATGGTCTGACTCAGTGCAGCTCAGGATTGTCTACACCAGTGTAGGGAATCTTGTGGTCCTCTAGGTACTTACCTGGCAGGGAGACACCTTGATCATGAAGGAGGTTTTCCCAGGATGAGGCTCATCCATTGCACTACGGGTGTGCTGACCCCGGCGATTTCCCCAAATGAGGGAAATTTGTGGTACCTCCCACCAGATGTCAAAGAGAAGAACAACTACCAGACTTTTAGAAGACATCTGAAGGCAGCCCTGTTTAGGGAAGCTTTTAATGTTTAACAGACCACTGTATTTTAATACTTTGCTGGAAGCCGCCCAGAGTGGCTGGGGAAACCCAGCCAGATGGGCAAGGTATAAATAATAAATTATTATAATAAATTATTATTCTGACCTACAGCTACCTTCATCCGTGACCATTGGCCATCCTGGCTATGGCTCTTGGGTGTTGGATTGCAGCTTCAGGAGGACCACAGATTTCACATCCCCTGGGGTGGACCTACTATGCAACTAATGAAGCTTAAGCTTCTGGATTGCTAATCCTGAAAAGGCTCCAGAAGCAACTTTACTCCACCTTGCTCACTTTGGGTCTAGTAGACTCAGTTTGAGTCACACAACTTGAAAACTATAAGGCATAGGAAATTTGTATCCACACCAGTGACTGTGACACATGAGATAGTCTAATACAGTGGTACCTCGGGTTACATACGCTTCAGGTTACCCAGAAATAGTACCTCGGGTTAAGAACTTTGCTTCAGGATGAGAACAGAAATCGTGCTCCGGTGGCATGGCAGCAGCAGGAGGCCCCATTACCTAAAGTGGTGCTTCAGGTTAAGAACAGTTTCAGGTTAAGAACGGACCTCCGGAACGAATTAAGTACTTAACCCGAGGTACCACTTACAGCAATTTTAACCAGAATCTGAGATGCAGTAGTTGTTGTTTTTTTAAATGTCATGGAACAACCCCATTGAAGAAGATAACAGTGGTTACCCAGACCTAATTGTTGGTTGCAAAGGGCCCCCCCATAACAGTTCAAGCTTCGGGCCCCCCAAAATGTAGGTATGTCACTGCCCATCCCTGCAATATAAATGCTCACTTAGCTTTCTACTTAGGCTTTCTTCTGCAAAGATCCTGGGGAGTTGCTCTCCATCTGAGTAGACACTGCTGAGTTTATTTTTTTTAAAAAAAGATATTTATTAGAGTTTAGGTATTACAAAAAAAAGGGGGGGAAAGGAATACAAGCAATAAACAATTACAAAACCTCAAAAACAAAAGAAATACAATAATCAACAATACATCAAAGACACTGCTGAGTTTAGGTGACCAGAAAGGAATCTGCCTTCTGGCAGATCAGACTATGTTCCCAAGAAGTCAAGCTGAAACGCTCTCTCTTTTCTTTGGGGCCATTTTTTAAAAAAAGAAATCTGGATTCAGCACAGCCTTTTTTCTCCCCTTTATCACTGTTGTTTATCAGCTCAAGTGCAGTTTTATGAGACTGGGTACAATATGAAAGTACTTGATGTATTTTCATAGGCTGTGGAGTTATTGACATTCCAATATATTAGCTGCTGAGAAAGAAATGCATATTGATGACTGCTGAGTTGTCCTGAGAAAGAAAGGGATAAGAAACCATTTAAGATTTTATTAGATATTTTCGGGATGCTGGATTACTCAGCTGGAGCTCTGAGACGAGAATGAGAGAGGGGGGTTATGGAGACACGCTTCAAGTTTCTGCAATGTCATTGTTGTGGTTTTTGATAAAATATCAGTACAAGCATTCTGGGTGCTGCTTTTCAACAGGAACAGCCTGGATCTTCTGAGTCTTTTGTCTCTGAAAAACCAGCACCCATCACATTGTTTGGAGGGACTTTGGAAACCATCTAATTCAGTTTTAGTCAATATAATGCACCACAGGTATTTTGGACAGTTATTCCACCAGCCCCTGCCAGTCTGACCAATGGGTAGGAATGATGGGAACTGTGGTCCATCTCTTCTGGAGGTGTGGTCCAAAGTGTGACCAATGTTTGCTCACTGTTTTGTTTGGAAAGGAAAGCAGCAATATAGGTCAAGTGTCATAGGGTCCTGAATGGGGTAACTGTGCCCCTGAAGGACCAGGTGTGCAGCCTGGGAGTCATTTTGGACTCACAGCTGTCCATGGAGGCGCAAGTTAATTCTGTGTCCAGGGCAGCTGTCTACCAGCTCCACCTGGTACGCAGGCTAAGACCCTACCTGCCCGCGGACTGTCTCGCCAGAGTGGTGCATGCTCTAGTTATCTCCCGCTTGGACTACTGCAACGTGCTCTACATGGGGCTACCTTTGAAGGTGACCCAGGAACTGCAATTAATCCAGAATGCGGCAGCTAGACTGGTGACTAGGAGTGGCCGCCGGGACTACATAACACCGGTTCTGAGAGATCTGCATTGGCTCCCAGTACATTTCCGAGCACAATTCAAAGTGTTGGTGCTGACCTTTAAAACCCTAAATGGCCTCGGTCCTGTATACCTGAAGGAGCATCTCCACCCCCATCGTTCAGCCCGGACACTGAGATCCAGCGCCGAGGGCCTTCTGGCGGTTCCCTCATTGCGAGAAGTAAGGTTACAGGGAACCAGACAGAGGGCCTTCTCGGTAGTGGCGCCCACCCTGTGGAACACCCTCCCTTCAGATGTGAAGGAAATAAGTAGGTATCCTATTTTTAAAAGACATCTGAAGGCAGCCCTGTTCAGGGAAGTTTTTAATATTTAACACTGTATTGTTTTTAATACTTGATTGGGAGCCGCCCAGAGTGGCTGGGGAAACTCAGCCAGATGGGCAGGGTATAAATAATAAATTATTATTATTATTATTATTATTATTATTATCATTATCATTATAGCCGTACATGCAGAAGGTCAGTCTCTGGCATCTCCAGGGAGGAGTAGGAGACAATTCTTGCTTGAGAGTGCCAGGCAATCGCTGCAGACCATACTAAGCTAGATGGACCAAAGGGCTGGCAGTTTCCTATGGGTGTTAGTCATGCTTATTTCATATGAATCTTCCCCCCCCCCTTTTTAAAATGTTTATGTGCAGGTGACATTGCATGTGCAATCAAAGCAGCACCACCCATGCCCAAGAGAAAAGTGTCAGCAGACCAGTGTATAAAATCATCTATGGTATGGAGTGTTGTAAAAAAACACTGCTCCTTTTTCCTTATAGGGTACCCAAGAGCCCATATAGAGTCCTTTTGTAGGTTCTCTATTAGTAGGAGAAAATAACAGAGGCCAACCAGAGAATATTGATAAGCAAAGCAGCTAGTAAGCCTGATCTTTATTAACTGTTGCAACAGGGTGCTCCCCCCACACGTAGGAGGCAGGAGGGACCCCAAAGAATGGTGCGCAAGCCCTTATGTAGACATTTGAAATTGCCCACCCTGGAGCCCAAGACCACCCCCCAATACATCATACATGCATCACATAAGAGGCGGTCTACAGCAGAAATACATCACAGAAGAGGCGGTCTACAGCAGAAAACCTGTCTGCCAGGGTACCTCAAAATGATCACTGATTGCATTACTTGAGCAGTCTGGCGATTCCTTTGTGATGGTAAATACTCAGTTCCTGAATCCAGGTCACAGGCTCACCCTATTAATACACAGATACCCCTTAAGACAGGATTTGTGAGCACAGAGACAATGGGGAGGTTTTCTTATTTCCTTTGTCCTTGCAGAGAAACATTTGAAGTCAATTTGGGAGAGACAAAATAGTTTCAGGACTTTTCCTGTACTGATTCAGACATGTGGTGGTTTATATGTTTATGTATGTGTTTGCCTGGTACATTTATTTTATATCTTAGACCTTATCATTTTATGAACATTTATTTTATATCTTAGACCTTATAATTCTCATACCAGGAGCATGTGGCTTTATGTTGTCTGAAGGAGGCCGAGCACTGAAGCTGTGATGTACGCCAGCCCCCCTCAACTTTGAGAGGGCCCAGCCCCCTTCCAACAAATATTGAGGGGGCCGAGGTGTCTTTGACTCCCTAGAATTGGCATATCTGATCGTGGCTGTGTTCTACCTCCACTGTTGCTGGAAGCCATCTGTGCAATGGACATGAAAATCCAACTTAAGAAATCATTCTGTTGTTTGGATGTTTTGTATCCCCAGCAGGGACAAATTGTGAAAAGGTATCGGACGTCATTTTTAAGGTTAGCCAAGACCTCTGGTCAACAAGGCACCTATTTTCGCCCTGGACTCTTATATTTTTAATCAATTTGTCACACTAACTAAAACCCTTTCAGCTTAATCGTTATTGTAAAACAGTTGGTATTATTACTATTTTTTAAAAGATCACTTTCAAGGAACCAAGGAAGCAAGATGGACTGATCAAGGGAAGAAGAAATTACTGGCAGGAGAGGATATTTTTACTGGCAGGGAAATTCTTGAAGCAGTTTTTACTGGCAGCCTGTAAGTTTACTGGCAGTTGGCAACCCTTCTTAAGACCTTTATGAAGGCGCAGGCGTTATGCCAGTTGTTCACGAGCTGCATTCACAGATTTCAGCTGGAGACAGGTAAGCTGGGGGCTAGACAGAATCCTATCCATTTCTGTGTTGCTCCATCATCTGCTGATCACAAGGAAAGCTATGTATTTTTCACTCCATAAGACGCACCTAGTTTTTAGAGGAGGAAAGGGGGAAAGCCCCGTTTTTTTGAGGATCAGCTCACAGTTGTGCAGCTTCTTTTGCAAAGGGGAAAAGCCCTGTTTTTTGAGGATCAGCTCAAAGTTGTTGAGCTTACTTTGCAAAGGGGAAAAAATCCTGTTTTTATGGGGTTCAACTCACAGTTCTGCAGCTTCTTTAGGAATGGAAAGGGAGCCATTTCTACAGTTTCCAGACAGGTAATCTAATCAGCCAGTCACATGTCGCTGGGGAAAGAAACAGCCTCCATCTGCAGAACATTCAACAATAGAGGTGTGGGCAAGGGGCCGGGGCCGGAAAGGGAGCCAGCGATCGACCACACATTCACTCCATAAGACTCACAGACATTTCCCCTTACTTTTTAGGAGGAAAAAAGTGTGTCTTATGGAGCGAAAAATACGGTAAGTGTACAAGTTTCACCAGGCTTTGAAACAGAGTTGGATTTGAGGATGTGGAGATGGGGGGCAATCAATGCAAAAGGAGAGTTGTTTGCAGGCCAGAATCTGACCTAGTGTAAGAAGAA